AAAAAAAAAAAAAAAAAAAAAAGACTCCCAGCACAGGGTGTGTGGAAGGCTGCTAATTCAGAAGATGTCTTGGTGGGCCAAGCACTGTGGCCATCCACACGGTTTACAAAGGCACAGGAACTGTGGAAGGGACTGAGCTCATGACCTTCCACGAGCCCTCATAGCTGGGGACATCATGTGGTTTTCCTTTTGACTGTAATGAGTTCTCACCGTGGTGGTCTTCTCCCTTTTGAAGGGAGACTTCACGTTTGTCCTGGGGTGAACGGCGAGTTCTCTTACCACCTCCCAGTGGATATTAAGAATTAGCCCAGCCTTGTGTGCTCACCCATGAGGGAAGTGATCTGGAAGGCCTGTAAACACGTTTTTCCGCGGTAGGCTGAGGGATGCCGCTAGGCTGCTCTTCTGTGAAGCTGAAGCACAGACGAGGGAACAGGTGGCTGGTCGGTGACCCGCAGCAGCGACGGCGGCAGGGAGAGGACGCCCCCTCTGTTCTCCATCAGCTGAGGCTGAGGCAGGGCTGGCTGCCCCCGAGCGCCTTCGGCGGGCCTCCAGGAAGCAGTGGGAGCCTCCAAATGGACCCACCTTTCAGGAGGCAGCCCTCGGAGCCCCCGCAAAGCTTGCCCCAGGATTTCCGGCCTGCCCAGCACCGCCCAGGCTCCATCTCTGGCCAGGAGGACAGAGGTTGAATGGGAAGTTCACTGACCCTCCGAACTTCACAGCAGAACGTTAGAAGCACATTCTTTCAACAAGAAGGTACCCTGGGCTGGGCTTCCTGAGTGTTAGAGTGAGCGCCCGCCCTTCCGTCTGTGGCTCCTCCGACAGGTACAGCAAGAGGACGGGCCTGGACGCCCCAGCTGCAGTTCCCATGTTTGGAAGCAGGCCATGGCCCCCGATATCCCTCCACCTTGATCAAATATGAGTGTAGCTCTTCACTGCCTGATCTGGAGGTGCCCAGAGACAGCTCGAAGGCTGGCTGCCTCAGAGTTCTGCCTGTCAACACTCAATTTCTTCCTCCAAACACGAGACAGGACAGACTTTGGGTGTGGTGACATCTTTGGTCCGAGAACTGTTACGGTTTGGGGCTCCTGGCTGAACAATCCGGCCAAGATGACCGGACCGATGACGGCACTGTGGAGTCTGGCCTTTCAGACGCTCCACCCTGGGGGCTGTACGCATCCACGGAACACTGCTGGCTCACCGGAGGCTATGGCTTGGAAGCAAGCGGAGAACGAGGGCCATGCAGTGAGGCGATGCCCGAGGAGGACCCACCCGAGTCCCTGCCACGGTTTCAAGTCAGCAACGTGTGGCCATCACAACACCAGGCAGAACGAAGTCACTCCCAGACCACAGTGCCGCCTGAGGGGGTTTCTAAGCCAGGGCGGCAGCTTTGCATTGCTCGTGCTTTCCTTCTTGTCCCGCGTGTATTCACACCCACCACTTGTGCACACGGGTTCTGAGGTTCCCTGGTGGCTCGTGCGGTGGGAGGCGGCCTACCGTGCGCAAGCCTGAGCAGCCGTCCAAACCTACTTACAAGGTCAGAGTCTGAGGGAGGGAGAGAGACGCCTTCCACCTGCCCCGTGGGCATGTCAGAGTGGCACAGGAGTCACTCGGAGCCGTCCGAGTACCCAGGGGTGACAGGAGCGAGTATCTCTAAGTCTGAGGACAGAACCGGAAAGGAACCCTTATGCCTCTTATAGCTCACAGGAGCAGGCCCTGCCCCTTCTGTCCCATCTACTCCCTGCACCGGCACCATGGCCCTGGCAGGCCGCCAGCAGGACAGGACTTTGTCTGGGTTGCCCGAGGGCAGGGGAGGTCACGACTGAGGTCGCTGAGTGAGAGTTCACAGCAAGGGGTTCCCAAAGATGGGCTATTGCTGTTGGCAGGACCCGAACCTGCTTCAGACCTGAGCACAGTGTTCTGAGCGGCCCGGTGGGCCAGTGGAGTTGGAGGGGGGCCCTGAGCTCCGCATCAGGAGAGGCATGGGGTGCAGCATCCTCTCCGCAGGCAGGGAAGAGCCTCGAGGCATCTTGCGCGGCCACGTGCCTGCTAGGCACTAAGACTCCCCCGATCTCTTGCCAATTCTGGTGACAGCCTCTGCCGCCTGCTCCGGCAGCTGGGACGGGTCTGTCAGAATGGAGGTGGTGGTGCTCAGGTGCCGGAGGGTGTTCAGCACCGCTGGAAGAAAGGGGAAGGTTAGCCCAGGGACACAGGCACACACGGCAGCTCTGAGCCCGACGGACGGCACGCAAGGTGTTACACATACGACCCGTGTGGTAATTCTCATGCCCGCCAAAGCAGAGGCGCTGAGCTCACTGAGGGACGAATGCCAGCAAAGCCTCTCTGCCCCTAGGGTGACTCTCCGAATCATGCCTCCTACCCTGCAGACGGGCAGAGAATCCCAAGCCATTCCTGTATGTCCACCTGTTTTCACGTCACCCCTCTATAACCTCAACGTGTGGGCGTCGCCTTGTTAGTTACAAGAATTAAATCGGAAAACATCTGAAAGCACCCGAGACGGCCTGGTGAACGGCAGGCGCTCGGTAAACGCAAGCTGGACCTGAGCACGGTGACACCCAGGGATGGTAGGAAGCCAAGCAGAGGCGCCAGGGGCTCTGCCCCCGCCCTGCAGTTGGCACATTCCGGTTCGGGGCCTCCTACACAGCATCATCCCGCGCTCCCGGCCCTGCTGGAGCGGCTGCTCACGGTGGAGCCTGGCCCGGCTACAGCGCTGTCTGCAGCGAAGGCCCTCCTCACTCCGAGACTGTCGTGCAGGGGCTGGCAAGCCCCCGTGGCGCCTCGGCCCCCATGCAGCCCCTACTCACTTGGCCTGAGGACGCGCAGGGAGCAGTGCTGGTCCAGCCAGGACAGTGCCGTCCGGTGCAGTTCTTCCAGGCTGCTGGTGGACACTATCCCCTTGAAGGACTCAAACAGCGGCTTGATGATGATACTGAACTGCATTGCACGTGGGTTAAAGAAAACGTAAGCGAGGAGGAGGACCAGCAAACATGTAACCAAGAGTGGGGAGAATGAAGCCCAGCTACAGGTTTGCCCAGGATCAATTCCCCCGGGGCGGGCAAGTGACTGTACAGACAGTGGATGAGAGGCAGACATCTAGGTTAAGACGCACCCTTACATTCCCCTAAAATGTTCCCATCTAACTGTAACTGAGCAACAGGTTAATGACCACTGAGCAGGCCAGAGGCAGGGACTGAGAGGTTTGCTTGGTGTGGCACAGGGTCCTGGCACAACGACAGGAAAACCAACGGTCTTTATGTATACCGGCAAGAATAGGAGAGGCACGCCACAGACCAAATGGTGGAAGCTGCCTGTCTAGAGATAGATGAGGCCTGTGTCTGGTGATAAACACACATGCTGGCTCTTAGTCACATTCTACGTAGGTCTCCCAAACCATCCTAGGCAATCAGCTTAGTGAAGGCAATGAGCTCCATTTTCTCCTTGGTCTGAGCCATGAGTGCCTCTGGTCCAAGCCTCAGCCCAATGAGGAACGTGCCATTTTCCTAAAGAGGTTCTGGCCCATCCCAGCTGTCACCCAGCTCCATCAGTGATGAGGGCAGAGGGAGGCTGGGCCAGCCAGGCAAAGCAGAGGAAACAGAGCCGGTGTCTGTCACCTCTCCTCTCTTCAAAACCAGCCGTCAGAGTGCAAATAAAGCAGATAAAATCCTCTGCTCCCAAACAACTGTCTTCTCAGTGTGTCAGTAACAAGGTGGAGGCACGTGGCCAACCTCCCACGTGTGCAGACCGTCTGAGGCAGAGATGTGGCTGGAAGGGTACGGACAAGGCAGGAGCTGTCCCCCAGAGGGGCCCTGCTGACATCTGGAGTGTGGGCGCACCTTGGCCCCAGACAGACCCCAGCGCTCAGGTGCATGTGCCTCATGACAGCATCAGAGGCCACGTGGTCCAAACCCAGACAACAGCCTCGAGGGAGCTGGTTTCAAATCCTGACTGTGCCACTCGGTCGTTCGTGAGCCCTGGTTTCTCATCCATCACAGGGGCAGCACTCACCCTCCCTAAGTAAGTTACCCCAAGGACTGAGATGGCTGCCAGGAGGTGTCAGATGAGACCCTAGCTCCTTCCTACAGGATTGCCTCTACAAGCGGCTCTAGCTCCTTGCAACCAAGTGTCTTTACTTCCCAGGCACCGAGAGAGCAAACTGGGCCTGTTCTGCCTCCCCAGGAAGCCGTGAGCCGGGACGGTCACCAACGACCGACTCCCTTCACGCCACAGCCCTGGTCAGGCCCCTCTCCCGAGGCGGAAGCCGGCACCGCCTGTTGGATGAGCCCAACGACAACCATTTATGTGGGTTTTTTCTAAAATCGCTGGGGTGTCAGTGTCTGTTGTTTCAGCCTACCCACAGCTGGGGGGTGGGAGAAGCAAGAAAACCCAAAGATACAATCCAGAACTTCCAATTCTGTAGGGTCCGGCTTTTCACATACTCGTCAAACATGTCTCTCATGTGATCGAACTGGCGCCGGGTGACAGGGACTCCTGTGGCGGGGAGCAGCTGCTGGCAGGAGCTGCAACAGGCAGAATCAGAGGCAGCTCAGAGCGGCTGGTGGTGAAGCTGGACCCGGGGCACCGAACAGGCAGGGCCGGCCCGCTGTCGGCCACGGCAGGCCCGAGGGGGGCCTCGGAAGGAGGAGGATGACAAAAACCCAGAGTGCTGCAACCGAGAGGCGGCTACGGGTGACGGGGCTTCTGTGACACGCACACAGGAGCGCAAGGCGCCAGCCCCGGGCCCCGCGTTCCCAGTCTCACATGATGGTGGTGTTGAGCTCCTCGATTTCTTCCCGCAGCCGTCGGGCTTCCTCCTGCATCTGGCTCCGCTCCTGCTGCAGCTTGGTGATGTACTCCACGGTCTTTTGCAGCGTGATGGCGTGGCTGGTCTGTGGGAGGGGCGGTGGGGTCAAAGCCGCAGCGGCCACGGCGACCCTGCCTGTCCACCCGGCACCGAGGCCAATGAAGCGGCTCCCCACCCACCCAATGCCACTCACCAGCTTGGAATTATTAGAGATCAAACTGTTAAGGGTGTCAAAGCCCATCTTGATGTTGAAGCGCCTTTTCTGCTCAGCTGAAATATGCTTCATCTGCCGGTTCTGTTGGGGAATCAAAGGGTCACTGTGATACGGTGCTCTGTAAGGCCACCTCCCCTCCCTGCAGAATGGAGCACCTCGGCAGGGGCCACGACTGCTGCTGGTCGGCACCTCCCAGTCACCCTCAGACCCCTCCTCCACGGACCCAGTTCCCAGCTGCGGCCTCCTGGCATATTACAGGGCTCAATGCTGATTCCGGGGCTCAGGCCTCACTGGTAGGTGGGGGAATGGGAAGAGGGGACCTGATCTCAAGGTTAAGGTAGCAAACGTCCAGGGTCCTGATGCTACACCCCAGCCTGGTGAGCACCAGCCAAGTGCGTGGTTCTCCTTTCCTCTGTGTCCCTAGTAAGGGACGCAGCTGCCCCAGTGGCCCCTTGATATTCTCCTTTCCTCCCCAACCCTCCAAGGAAATCAAGACCCGAGAGAGACCTGTGATACCTTTAGAGCAGCCACATTTTTGGGGTCTGCAGATTTCCCTGAGCAGTTGTTCTGGGGAGACTGGGGACTGGGGCTCTGCTCTGAAGCACATGGAGAGGCCTGCCCTGAGTTTGGGCAATCTCGACCTGAGAAGAACAGAGACTCCTCTTAGAACATGGCCGGCTACAGCAGCTGGAACGGTCCTCACCCATGAAAGGAACCCCTGCAAATCCCAAACCCTGGAAACCCATCCGGAACCTCCCACGGCGACCACAGAGCAAAAACGGTAGAAATGCTTGCCAACACCTCAAGGAAGGTTCTGTTAGGTGTGGACAAGGCCTGAAGAAGGCTGGCTGGACATGGAGTGGGAACACGGTCTGAGCTTGACCAGCCACAGGTTTTGGGGGACACGGAGAGTTTTGAGGGGAGGTGTGACTGCTAACCCAACCTCCTAAAAAGCCACGTGGAGGCAATCTGGGGTTTCCGTAGCATCTATAAGGCTCTGGTTCTTACCCTGTGTGTCAAGTACCCAGGTACCTGTTTATTTTTGTTCTCTCAACGCTACATATACGTTCTCTTATACTTTCTTCAATCCTGCCTACTCCCACGCAAGCCATGTCCTGGTCACTGGCATCTCTCAGGAGTCCCTCTGAGCCCCTGGGGCTGCCCCACTCAGCGCACTCTTTTCCGTGGCACCGATCTCCCTGTGGTGCTCTCTCAGGCAGAACTCCCCCTGCGGCTCTGGCGCCCAGGGTCTGTGCCTCAGAGGACAAGAGGCCACTACCTGAGCCCTAACTTACATCACTGTAGGGGCCTGACTCATAGTCTTTGTCTTTGTCTTTCCGGACTGGAGGCCCTTGTTCCTCCAATTCTCCTTGGACAAGTCCCTGTACTGTCTGATCTCTGTAAGCAAAGATCTCTCCTCCTCGTGTCTTCCTGTTCAGAAAAGACAACCGTTTACACAGAGCTCCAGGAGCAGCCACGCCCTGCTTTTACTTAAGACAAGAAGGCACCTTTGGTCTCCCTCTCTGATGTGGCATCTGAAAGGAAGGAGCCTGGGTTCTGGTTCTACCCCCACCATGAGGGGCAGAGCCTCGGGCAAATCGTTTACCCCTGGCTTCTCAGCTCTTCACTGGGCAAAATCAGTTCTACCCCGACCATCTGGCCAATGGAAGGCCCACGCTGTGGAAATGGGTTCAGCAGATGGGAAGTTCTTGAAAACTAAGGGATGACTACGTTGATGTGTAGACAAGGCCGGGTGGTTTCCGTTTTCTGGAAAACTGCGGACAAGGACTCTTCGGTCCCTTTTCTGGATCAGAACAGGCAGCTCAGAGCCAGGCCTTTCTAAAGGAGTTCAGGGACGGTGGTCCCCCGAGTGCATCAGTTGCCAACACTGCACACGCTTGCCGCCTTTCTGCTGCTGTGGATGATCTGGCACAATGCCGAGCACTTCCTAGCCTGGGCCGCTATCGGGCTTGTAAAATGTCACTGCACATCCTGTGAGTCCAGCCCCAAACCTAGGGAAGCCCACAGGCGGTCTCCCTGACCCAGGAGTGGGAGCTCTCAGTTGGCCCACGAAGTCCCAACTGCTCCGGCTAGAGCACACACTCACTGGAACCCGTGGCAGAGGCCTGCTCGCCCTTCACCAGGGACTCTTGCACTGTGCCTGGAGAGAAGAGCCGAGAGACAGGGGCTGGCTGGCTGCTCGTGGGATGGCCAAGGTCTGTCACCAGGATGCCACTGTGGAACTCCGTGACTCCAGGAGCCTGAGTGACACAGAAGAGAGAGGTCACCCCCAACTATAGTCATGCTGGGTGAGGACCACCCAAGAACAGGGCCACACTGTGGTTATACGGATGCTGAGGGTCTGTCCGGAGCCCTCTCACCCGGGCAATGGAGGCAGGCGTGAGGACCACATTGGACTGGGACACAGTAGAAGCCAACATCCCTTCTCTCTTCAGAGGGCCTGATGTCATAATCACTGCTTGAGGTTGTCCTGAAAAGGCAGCTGCCAGAACAAGAAGGTGAGGGTGGTGTCCCTGAGCCACGGGCGGCCTGGCTGGGCCCAGGCCCAGGCCCACTGCACAGTGCTCCCCAGAAGAAGCATAGCCCCCGTTGCTGCTCAGACATTGCTTTCCTCACCACAGGAAAGACAACACCACAAGGGTACCTGACCTTTGTTTTGTAACTTCTCCTTGAAGGGGACAGATTATAGACCTATAGACCTAGGACGGATTATAGATCACCCGGACCATGCTTTTTCAAACTGGGTTGAGACTAACTTTAA